AAGACAGAAAGTACAAAGTAAGGAAGAAAAAGGGGAAACAAACAAACATCGCAGTACCATTTAATGGGTTTCTACCTATCTGCAAATACCCAGCAAGGCACAGCTGTCTCCCCCATGAGGCTGGGCAGTACAGTCATCCCATGGACCCACTGAACCTCAGCAGAAACATCTGCCTTAATGCTAACTGCACTCCTAAAACAGTAACGGGCTGCTACCACACAAATCTAACTCACCACAGGTGTGACACTAACTGCATAACACTACGTTAGCAAAATTTGAGCAGTCTTTCAGTGTTTTGTTTCAGTTACAATATTCTGCTCCTACAAGCGGCAAAATAACAGTTAAAAAAGAAGGATTCTAGGAGTGAGTTTCTGTGTTTAAGATGCACAAACAGTAATCTTAAGATCATGCTCCTTAGCACACCAATCTAATAATGATGTAGAAATTGTTAAGGTTGTCAGATTCTAGGCATTCAGCTGAGCTTCTCCTTCAAGCACAACCCAGAAAAATTTAAGATGTTATTGCTGTCACAGAACATTCTGCAGGACAAGAGCGCAAACCAGAAATAGAACTCGCAGTACTTCACCCAGGCTCTCGGGATACAAACCAGCTGACAAGAGCTAGCCAAGTTCTCAGCCTGACAAACCTCTTCTGCCCAAGAACCCTCTGAGAATAGACTAAGAGGATTTATCAGAGCTTGATGCAGAAGAGCACATGACTCAAATCTCGCTGCAGATCCCGCAGCCCAAGTCATGCAGCATTGACCAGGAGCACACGGAGATGCCCTGGGAAGCATGGGCCCAGGGAGCTGGGACACAGCATTTTCTCCATGGGTCAGCTCAGTCCCTGGACCTCTGCAAGCTCTCCCCATAATGACCATGCAATGTCTCTCAAGAGTGACAGGAACCAACCTGAACTTTCACCTCAGTGGACAATGGTTACTTTTGACATAGCTGCTACGTGATCCAAAGATCACAGTCACACGTGATACCCTGCATTCTAACCTCATGGGTGGAAATCAGCTTTAGATAGGATTCTCCTAAGAAAGAGATTAGCCCTGGAAAAGGGCTATTTCCTTTAAATAAATGTGTATCTAGTAACAGATTGCTGTAGCTAGAGGTATCTTCAGAGGGTAGCACTCTGAAGGAATAATAACGTTGTTCAATAATTGAACTGAGCACAGAAATACAGAGCTATGTGCAGAGATTACAGCAGGTCTCAATTGGTCAGGATTTGCAGTTAAATGAGATTTAAGCAGTAATAAAGGCGCTCCTGTTAAGAATGTGCAGCGACATTATACTATACTGCTTTACAGCAAGAAAATATATCTCCTGGATAAGGCAGGATCCATACATAGTGTCCAAAGGGGAGAATTAAATTAGTCTTCATGCAGTGAGAGGTGCCCAGCCTAAACAAAGCAGCACACAGCAGAAATGGCAACATTCAGGATTTGAGTCCCATACTGACTTCCAGGAGTTGCTTTAGCTCGGAATCTTCTCACACGTCCACTCTGCAAAGCAGGAAACGGCCCCGGGCGCGGCGGGGCCGGCGCAGCCCGTGCCCACCGGCGGAGCCGAGCTGGGCGCAGGAACCGGGTCGCAAATCCGCCGGACCCCGGCGGCGGCTCCGCGCCCGCTGCGGAACTGCCCCGGGGACAGCAGGAGCCGAGCCTGGCGCTGCCCCTCCGCCTCCCGCCCCCGGCCCCGGCCACGCCGCCCCGGACAGCCGCCGGCGGGGCCGCGGCCTCCCCGCCCGCCCCGGCGGGTCCCCGCGCTCACCTCGGCGGGACCGCCCGCCCGCCCGCGGACATCGCCGCAGCTCGGCACCGCCGGCCGCCCCGGCCCGGCCCCCCGGCCAGGACCGGCCCCGGCGTGCGCTCTGGCCCGCCCCGGCCCGCCCCCGAGAGCCCGTTCAGCTCGGCCCAGAGCACCCGCCTCTGCCCTCAAAAAAACATCGACTGTCGCTGCCGAGCCGTCCGACGATGGGGAATCGTCACGGGGGAAGGGTGAGTGCTGAGGGAAGTTCAGCACAGGCCAACGCTGCTCTTGCACACGCAGAAGAGGCGAGCAAAAGCAACATTCCTGGCCCGTCGGACCCTCCCCCGTCACAGCTGCACCCGCAGAGCTCGTACCTGGGCTGCACCTGCTGAGCTCCTGCAGGAACGTGCGCGTGTGGGAGCCAAAGGGCAGCCGCACGGTCAGCCGCTCGTCTGCTGAGCTGATCTGGACAGTCACGTCAGAGCCTGGAAACATCAGGAGAAAGAGCTGCTGTGGGTCATGCTGCCAAGCCTTCAGAAACCGAGTGTTTCTCCACTCTACAGTGGTGGACGCACACATGCATGCAGCCTTTGGCAACATCTCCCCATAAGAATGCCACTTAAAAATATAAAGATGACCATTTATAATAATTTTTATTCTTCTTGTTCAGTGACAATAATTAATTTTCCAGCAGCAGTTTAAAAGTGTTTGGAAAAATCATTGCCTTGGTTGAATGGGGCTAGATGTTAGCTGATGCTTGTTAGCACTAAGTAACCATGGCCAACAGCATGGCAAGTGCCCCAACAGCAGCAGGACACAAATCCCCACCCTATCAAGCTCCCCCCCAGGACAAGAGCCCCCAGTCCTGCCTCACTGTTTGCAGCTGGCACAGGGCCCAGAGCACCTGTGACACAGGCACTAAAAACATGCACAGAACTCACCAATGACGTGACGGTCACTGTCAAGTACAACTGCAAAAGTAAAACAAAGTTCAGTTGAAAGCTATGCAACAGATTTGCAGGCTGTGCTGATACTTTGAGGTCAGCGAGCTCAGCAAGTTCCTCCAGCCCCAAATGCTCCTTTCAGGAACAGAGCCAGGAGAGCGAACCTGCCAGGCAGGGGCCGTGGCTGGGGCCTGGTGGGATACAGGTGCTCCAAACCTCAAACAGCCCTGCCAGGAATGCCATGTGACACACAAGTGTCACCAGGGATTACAAACTAAAGAAAAAAGGCAGAATGGATTCCAAACTTTAGGAAGCAGAACAACAAAGTATGCACTCCAAACCCCTCCATCCTCTTCTTTGGCCGTGGCCACTGAGCCATCACAGTGTGTCAGTACCTTCTTCCACTGAAAACCCATCTGTGAGGGGGATTACTCTCTCCAGCCAGACATCCTCAGCTGTGATGGCCATCCGCCGGTGAGTGTACACATAGATCCTGCAAGCACAGAGCCGACACAGAGGCAAAGACTCCTCAGTTCTGGCACATCTGCAGGCACACAAAGACCCCGTCCCCCCAGCAGCACCTGCTAGCGCAGCCTCACGCAAACCTCAAAGTAACTTCTCGACCACGTACCCACCCATCTGCTCACCCCATCACTTAAATACCGTGTTCACATTACTGGCAGAGCACAGCAGAGCAGCTCATGGGCCTGGGGTTTCTTAGTGACCACCCCTAACATCAAGGCATCATGCCTTCAAACCGCTGCCCTACGAGACCGCCCTGGATGAAAAGCCCTTGGGATGGGAGGAGGCTCTCAGGTGGCTCCCGACGCTCGTGAGGGACCCGCAGAGCTCCCGCGTCTCTCAGATGTTGTCCGCCCCGCTCCGCTACCCACGCGTGCTGCCCGCGGTGCTCCACCAGGCCCAGCAGCCGGCTCTCCACGCTCTCCCCCGCGGCCAGGAGACCCTGCACCGCCTGCGGCCGCGGGTCAAGGAACGGCAGGACAGCGGCAGGGAGCGGGGACCCCGCCAGAGAGCGGCGGGGACAAACCGGAGGGAGCAGGGAGAGGGGCCCCGCCACCCCGCACGGCTCCGCGCCACCGGGGGCCATCAAAGGATACGATCCGGCAGGTCTCGCCCTCCGCCAGGCTCTCCTGGATGGCGACCGACTGGTCCATCTCGGTCCCGGCAGCGCGGATGACGCTCCCCGGGGCCGGGACCCGGCGACTCCCGCGGCGGCGCGCTCAGCGCGGCTGTCGCGACACGATGCGACACGGCGCCCCCAGACTCCCCTTCCCCCAGCCGGGGCCGGCACCGGCGCCGCTCCGTTATCGCTCCGCGCCGGGACCGGCCGCGGGCGGGGCTCGGAGCCGCCGGAAATAACGGGGCGGGAGGGGTGGACGGCGGCCGAGCGGCCGCTGCACGGCGGGATGCGAGCGGCGGGGGAAGCACGGCCTGCGGCTGGCCCCTCCCGGCAGGAAGGGGAGAGGGAGAGGAGGAAGCTCTGGGGTCGGCAGATGTGGAAAAAGTTAATTTCCGAGGAAAATCCTGAGATATCCTCTTTTAAGTAGCAGCTTGAATTATTTTTTGTTGAATTTCAAGACAACCCAGCACAGAAGCCAACTTCTGAGCTGCCAGGTTATTATGCAAATAAATTAGTACAGATCGTGGTAGCAGATGCTGTAAAATGTCACCAGTCTTTTGTACTGTAAAAACAGAGTTTGGCCTAAATCGGCTCCTTGCACAGACACAGGGGACGTAGGTCCAGAGATGGAAAATCTGAATGGTCTTAGTCAGTGACAGCTCTGCACCACCTCCCCCCTCCAGCAGCTGCCCATAATGGACGATAAAACAGTCTGAAATACCTGCTGTAAGCACCAAACCTTCCAAGAAACAGGGTGCTGGGGGATATTTTTGACATAGAAGAACCCTCGTTTTCAGACTGTTTTCACTTGCCATGGGTACACTGACTCTGTGGCCTGAAACGAACTAAAAACACGCCCTGTGGTTTTGCCACACCAGAACAGGGGCTATAAGGTAGGAAGGGCCAGCTGTTTTCCAGTGTTTTCCATCCAGCCCCACATCCGCTTCCACCACTGCTCGGGTGGCAACACCGAATCAGGGCTGGCAGTGCCTGTTGAAGCTGGCAGTGCCCATCGGGGCTGGCAGCACAAAGCCTTCCTGCTGGAAGAGCACACAAGGCTCTTGGGGGCCCAGACTGCCCAGCCCAGGCCTCTCGTCCTCCCATAGGTCACACCATGCTCAGCCACACTCAAAACACCAGCACAGACCAGAGGGCTGAGACACAAACTTTAATATTTTGCAATCTTTTCTCTAAGGAGCCAGCAGTGGCAGAGGAGAGCGGTTGCAGGGGACAGCGCCATGAGCATGTGCACAACTGGCAGCACCTTGACTCCAGGGAGTTCTGCCCAACCAGCTCCTCACGCTGCAAGAACAGGCTGGGGGAGCACTGGGGGTGTTCGTGTCACAGGCTCACAGCTAGGCTCTGCTTTTAGCAACAGAGAACCACAGCTGTGAAACAGGATCATCTAAAACATGAGATACCTTTAGAGTAATCCCATTTTCCTGCCTAGGATCTGGAGACAAAACATAGAGTTACCATTTACTCACCCAGGCAAGAGGCATTACATTGCCAGAGCAGTTCAGAACTAAACTGTTCAGAACTATGCAGGTCACAGGGGTCCAGGGAGGCTGCACCACAAGCAGGTCATTGACTAGAGAAGCCCCTATGCCTTCAGTCAAGGCAGAATTTTCTGATTTTTAAGGAGGCCTAACACCTTCTCGTTCCTGGTCCCTCATTCCAGCAGCACGGAGGCACACACTGCATGGCTCTCAGGATCCACAATTAGTTTGCGGGTCTCTCAGGCCTACAAGATTGGGGTGGGGTAGGGAAGAATCCCTGGCTGTAGCTTTCTGAGTGTGACAGGGATGTGACAGAGTGTGTGATAGTGGCCTTGGCTGAAGTCAGAGAGCAACAGGATCCTACTGAGCGCTGCTGCAGAGCTCTGTTGCAGGAGGGCAGGCTGTGGAGCATCCTGACTCCTGCCTACCCCCAGAGGGAAGTGAAGGCCCTGTAATTCAGGAGAAGGACCACCCCACATGCCATGACCTTCAAGAGTGGGGCCAGTATCACCTGCTCAGCGCTATTGACATGAATTTTGCCATCCAGTTTCAGACAGCTGGCTTTTGGGATGGCTGGGCAGCATTCCTGGTAACAGGCAGCCTTCATCCCACTGGCACAGACTGGTTTGGCAGCCTTGCAGGTTTTGCTACATCCAGCCATGTAATTCGAGCCCGTCTTCTTCATCTGGAAGGAAGAGACACATCAGCCTAGGGGTCATGCCAAGCCTTTGGTATTCTCATTACAGGAACACAATGGCAAATCTGGAGCTGTCCTGCTCTGCAGCCTCAGGCCTTACCTCACAGAAGTCCTGCCCCAAGATGCATCTAGTGATGGTCTTCCTGCCTTTGAAACACCCGTCCCCGTGACAGGAGAATGCCGTGCACACTTTTCCCTATGAGAGAGGACCAGGGGAGAACACCATATATCCATCAGACTCTCACTGCATTTCAGCCAGCCCTTTGCTCCCAAGGGCTCCTCTCCCACCCCCCTCTGTTGGGATGGGTTGACAGATGTGCGTGGGGAGAGGAAGGCATTTTAGATGCAGAGAAGAAAGACTATCAGTGGCCCATCTGAAACCAAATGAAACTACTGAAACATCAGCAGAGCAAACATGTTTCAAGCCTCCTTCTTCTTCCTCTTAACAGGGCTATGCAAAGCACCTTCCCCTCCACTAGATTCAGGAAAGGGCTTAGAGCTCAGTGGATCCTGCACCCTCCCTGCAGCTTTAGAAAGGCTCAGCCATGTGGTCAAGTCAAACTGCCTGAGCTGATGCAAGTGCTGGGCTAGGGATAAGGCCTGATGGACAGGCTCCTTACTGATCTTTCACTTGCAATGCCCATTTAGGATTTGTTCCCCTTCCAGAGGCAGATTTGACCTCATAAAGGAGGTGCAGGAGGGACCTTTCCCTGTTTTCTGCTCAGGTGGGAGCTCAGCTGTCCCAGCAGTCGCAGCTCCCAGAGCCCCCATGGCTGCAGCAGCCTCTGCCCAGCTGGTACCTACGTTTTGGGAGGGAGGTCGGTGGGTGGTGGTGGCAGTTGTTGGTGGAGCAGTGGTGGGTGGCAGGTCACCTGCAGACACACAAGGAGCCCTGTGAGGCTGCACCCGGCACACAGCCCCCACAGGGCCCTCCACAGCAACACAGGGACAGATTCCCCAGCGCAGCTCATACTGCAGCCGGAGCTGGTGGGGCCACCCTGTCCCTCACCCAGCTCCATGGACAGAGCAAGCCCCCAGGCAGAAGAGACCCGGCGATGCAGCCACAGCCCCTCTGTAATGGGCTCTGCCCACCCGTGCCCCTTCTGTGCCGCAGAGCAAAGCTCGGCTCTTACCGTAGGCACTGGCATTGAGCTGCAGACACAGCGTAGTGGCACAGCACTCCAGGGCACATTGCTGCCTGCTCTCGCTGCTGTTGGTCCTGCACAGCCCCACACCACACCTGCTGCTGCACCTGGCTGTGTAGTTTGTGCTGGAGAAACGATATAGCTGCAACAGCAGAGTCAAAGGATAAAATGAGTGTGAAGAGGTGCCATTACAAAGGAGCAGAAATAACTGACAGACTGCCTGAGAAAGAAGGGAAATAGGAGATGGACACAGACTTAGTAGAGCACTGTGGATTGCTCAGATAAAGAAGGGGAAAGGTTTCCCTACTGCAGCCCCCCTGCATTGCCATACCTCACAGTAAGTCTCATTATGGCAGGTGACTGTTCTGTTGGAATGGGCTTCATCCTGGTAACACCTCTCCCCGGAGCACTGAAAGCTCTGGCAGGTGAGCTGGAGGGAGAACACACCAGAGTGTCACCATGTAGCAAAGCCTCCTTGCATAGCACCACGGGGCTGTCCCCAGCCACAGCCTCACTATCTGGAGGGACCATGCCCCTCTGCCCACAGGGCTCCCCTTCCTCGCCAGGAGATGGTCCCGTCGCACTCCGGCTCTCACGATAGACCAGCTGCAGAAGAGACACTGCCTGTAGGGCTGCAATGGCCCAGCAATGCCACTCTTTCCATTACTTTCCTTACCACTGTCTCTTGTGCACCATCCACAGAGGTGTTGGTGGCCACTGAGGCATTGCCAGTGGCCACCACCGAGGTGTTGGTGGCAACCACCAAGGTGTGGCTGGCAGTGGTCACCACCGAGGCACTCTTGGCGGCCACCTCTAAGGCATCCTTGGTGGCAGCCCCCACTGTAGCATTTTTAGCGGCCACTTCTCTGGCATTCCTGGCGGCCACCACTGCAGCATCCTTGGCAGCCACCACTGCGGCATCCTTGGTGGCCACTTCTCTGGCATTCTTGGTGGCCACCACTGCGGCATCTTTGGTGGCAGCCACCACTGTAGCATTCTTAGCAGCCACTTCTCTGGCATTCTTGGTGGCCACCACTGTGGCATTCTTGGTGGCCACCACTGTGGCATTCTTGGTGGCCACCACTGTGGCATCTTTGGTGGCGGCCATCACTGTAGCATTCTTAGCAGCCACTTCTCTGGCATTCTTGGTGGCCACCACTGCAGCATCCTTGGTGGCCACCACTGTGGCATCCTTGGTGGCCACCACTGTGGCATCCTTGGTGGCGGCCACCACTGTGGCATCCTTGGTGGTGTTCTTGACAGCTGTGGCCACCAATGAGGCATTCTTGGTGGTCACCAAGGTGTTCTTGGTGGCCGCAGGAACCAACAAGGTGTTCTTAGCAGCCACCACGGTGCTGTTGGCAACTGTGTTGTGCTCTGAAAGACACAAAGTTCCCCTTTGGTGAAAGAAACAAGGAAAAACACACTCAGCAAGCTCTGTGTTCTGTTCTGAGCCACAGCGCAGTCCAGTAGGACCTGTGGGAACATCTGTCCCACTGTGGCTGGGAGGTGGATGACAGTCAGTGACAGGATGTCCCAAACAGAGTCTGTTTGCAGCTACTGACTGGGCAGCCCAAGAAGCAGGTCAGAGCCAGAAGGCCCCTGCAGTAGCACTATGGAGAGATGTTACAATAGCCTCTCTCTCTTCCAGCCATGCTGCCTGGGAAGAACAGACTTTTCCAGGGGCAAAAGCTCAAGGAAAGATTCCTCAGTCCTACAGAACACACCTTGGAGGTGAGAGGCATGAAGTCCCCATTGCACCACACTTCCCACAGGCCCCCATATTTCCCTTGGGTACAGAGCTCACCTGCTGGGGCAAGAGAGTCCTGGAGATGGATGTGCAGAGCCAAGATACAGAGCAGCAGGCCTGGAATGGAATGGGGATGGCTGAGACCACCACCTCTGCTGCCCACTTTACCCACAACCCAAAGAGCCTCCCCAGCAGCAAGGCAGCTCACCCTTGAAACAAGTGAGCAGAGATACTCCCCACCCTCCCACAGCCCCAGGGGGCCAGTCGCTACCCCCTGTCCCAGGGAGGCCTCTGGCACAGTCCCAACAGCTGGGGCAGGGACAGGGCCAGGATGGGGGCTGGGCACACTCTTGGTGCTGCACCAGAGCCCCTGTTACCTTGAACGGGCGGGACAAGCCATCGGCGACAGGCCATCATCATCCACCACGGCTGCACCCGGACCTGGCAGGAGGACACAGTCAGAGCTGCCCCCCCGAGGTGCAGGGCAGACACCCCAGTATGGGGTTTCTGTTACACCCCAGCACAGGTCTGGGCTCTACCTCCAGGGCTCAGCCCCGGTGACAACCAGTCGCTCCCTCCTGAGAGACTCCCCAAACTCACTGGGGCCGCTGCCGGGGAACAGGAGCCCTGGGGAGCTGCGCGTGCTGTTGGTGTGGCAACAACCCTCCCTGGGCCCCGCAGGCAGCACAGCCCTGCAGGCAGCTGCAGAAGCAGGGTGCAGGGTGACACAGTGACACCTGCCACCACACAGCAGTTTACTGATGCTGCTGCAAGTGAAGATGTGGCCTGGCTCTCTACTTTCATTCCAAATCTCTACCTGTTTCTCTAAGGAAACAGTGGAGATCTGATCCAAACAGGCTCCAAGGCCAAGTTCTCCAAAAATTGTAACACTCCCCTCCTTTTTATGACCTAGGCTGAGTCACCATTCCCCCAGGACCTGGAGTGGCCAAAGCTTGTGCAGACCTCTGAGGCTGTTCGCTCAGAGAGACAGAGAAGACAAGACAATGCCAGCTGGTGCCTCTCACCTTCCAAACCATGGCAGCCACCACCCAGACCAGCTGTGGACATCCCTACTGAGCCCAGTGCCACTCCAGACCAGCTCCAAGGCAGACGAGGTACCAACAAGGAACCCATCTGACGTGGCCTCATCCCAGGAGAACAACCTTCCCCCCGGGGAAGAAGAGCCCACGGCATTGACTCACCTGTCTGCTCCTGTACCTGCAGCCGCTGCCAGCACTGCAGCACCTCTGAGCAGGTGGCCCCACAGCCCAGCCCCACCCCTGCCAGCCACCACCCAGGGGAAGTGTCCCCTGTGGCTCCACAGCAGCAGAGACACAAATGGCCGTGCACAGCAACAGAGAAAGGGCTTGCGAGGCTGGAGATGTCACATGAGCAACCACTACACCAGAGGGGCTGGGTGGCAAAAGGACTGCCACTGTCATATGTGACACACGTGGCCTCTGCACGATGGACCTGCAATTCCCAAGGCAGCACAAATCTGTGGGGTATGTACAAGCTACTCCAAGCATGGCACCGGGGGCCAAGGGTGCTGAAGTCACAGCAGTCATCTCTAAATGCATCATCTGTTAACATCTCCGTCCTCCTGCACCACAGAAGGATCAGCACAAGAACCTACCAGGTCCTTCAAGCCACCAGCAGTGCCAGAGAAGTCACCATGCACTGTCCCCACAGTCCAACCTGACCTAGCTCATTTGGTAATTCCCTGAAAAAACACAGTGGCCAAAGCTCCCCAGGCAGACAGACCCAAGGTAAAAGCAGCCCTTAAGCCAGGTGAGTTTGTTCTGCAAAGGAGCCCAAAGAAAACCACATGCTCAGAACCAGATCTAGAACAGTACCATTACCTGTCGGCACATAGTGTCCAAGTCCACGGGCTTCAGAGTCAACCCTCACCACAAACATTTCCATCAGAGTGGGAGTGAAAGAAGGAATTGTTTCTGAAAGCTCTAACTGTGTAAAAAGTATTTCAAACACATTGTAATCAAACCTCTTCCTTCCACCATATGAAAGGAGACAAGTCTCTCGGCACTTCCTAAATTAAAATGAGTTTATTTTTGAAGGTACTTTAGAATATAAAACAATGTCACAAGTCTGCTTTTCACAAGGGGCTTACTACAAAGTGACTCTATAAAGTATCCTTGTAATCTATACTCATGCACACACAAAATCCAGAAACTGAAGAAGTCAGAGCTGCTGCCACATCCACTCACTCCACAGATGTGGGATCCTTCTGGGGACAGCTACAGCAGCCCTTGGCGCTTCAGGTCTTCATAGGTCTTTTTATTCACCACGTTCCCACTGGAATCTTCATATTCCTCCTGGAACATAATGGTTTAGAGATACTGGGCACAGCCTTCGAATTTTAGCTCCAGCAGAAGCCACTACACATGAGCACCCCTGCCAGAACCTCTGTGCAGAATGACAGGCAACAGATCTGCCAGCAGGTCCCGGGAGCAAGAGCTCATCCAGAGCCAGAGTCATTACAGGCTGTATTTCCCACTGTTGCCCTGCACACTGTTGAAAAATAGCTTGGGACAGAAGCTTAGGAAAAGGCACTAGTGTAAGCAAGGACACTGCTCCCACACGGCAATGGGAGGGTCCCACGGACACAGGACTGGAGGCACTGAACACTTCTCACTGCTCACCTCTGTATCAGGCTGCCACCTCTCTGAAGCCTTCTGCTGTTTCAGCTTTGCCCACACTGCAAACACAAAGTCAAATAGGATCTGATGCCATTTCCCTTGAGATACTTGTTTTTAATGCAGTAAAATACACACATGAGTTTTTTTCTCCCCTTCTATAACAATTCAGCAGTTCAGGAATGTACCTAACATCCATTACAAAGTAATTCCTGTGTGATTACTGAAAGGCACAGAACTGCAGCAAACAAGGCTTTAAAGTGATAGTTCAGGATAGGACACAAGACCAATGTCCAAACCCACCCCTTCAGAAAAGGTGGTGTTCTCTCACATGTTCCCTGTTCTGCCATCACTACTTACATGAGACTGCATCCTCAATCTGTGTGACGTTGGCAAAGTGTGCCGTGTTGGGAATGCCTAGGCACCGCATCCCATGGGCATGTCGCCACTCCTGCGGGGGAAGAGATGAGAGGTCAGCATGAGAGGGAATGCCACGTCCTCCACACCACCAAAGACCACAATGACATTAACACCTCAACAGGGTGCAACGAATACTACCAAAGTACAAACCTACCAGTCCTAAAAGCTTCTATGAAAGTATTTTTTTTCTGTACTGTAGACAGTGGCTGTTTAGCATAAGCAGAAGAGATCTCAGTGTGCACTACACAACCTATGGATCCCACTGCATGGCCCTGATCCCCGTCAGAAGGGGCAGAATTGCTATCCAGGGACTCCCAAGTGATCCTCTACAAGGACTGTAGGAACGCAGCAGGGCTGTTCCTGCAGTGAACATCACTTACTGCGAAGTGCCGCTGAAACGCCTTGGGCCCTCGGTAGGTGTAGTTACCACAGATCTCACAGTTGTAGTTAATGTTCAAACCATGGAGTTTATACAACCAGTATGGGATGGGCTGCAAGCGAGGAGACAAGAAGATGAGGATAAACAAGGATTAGGTTGCGTGGCAAAGCAGCTCAAGCAAGGGAGCAGTGTGGAGTCAACAACCTCTCCCACTTCTCCAGTGGGAGAAGCTGACAGTCTCGGTTACCTTGCCATCCCAACCAAGAGGCAGATTTTTAGGGTTATAAATGATTTCATTTTCTTCATCTTCACTCTCACTCTCACTGATCTGCTCTTCCTCCTCCTCCTCCCTCTCCTCCCCAGTCCGCGCCTGCTTACGCTGCACATTCTCATGGGTGAGGTGTCTCTGTTCCTGAAGAAAAGAAGGCATTGTTCACACACTGTGACAGCAACAAAGTTGAAACTTTCTCAATGTACAGAGGGAGGTAATGGAAGACCAGTATGAAGCACAGAACTCTGACCTTACTCAGCCAAACAAGTTCAGTTTTTAGTACCCTAACATTTCCTACTTGCCAAAACCAAAAACCTTGTACCACCGTTTGCACTTCCGTGGTGACAGGCAGCAGCCACAGCCACTCTGCTGAAAACAATCCCCCCAAACCAAAGGCAAGCAGCAAGGCAGAACTAGTAGAGGTTTGCAATACCATGCGACTTAGGCACAAAATAGATGTGGTGCACCACAGTGATGTGGTGCTATGAAAGCATTGGGTAAAGATGTGGGTGAGCTTCCAGTCACTATTTGACAGCTCTGAAATAAAAAGTTCAAAGAAAAAATAAAATCCTTACCCCAAGAACTTCTACATACTCATAAATCTGAGCTTCCAGGAATGCAAGATCTTTATTTCTTTCAGTGTCTCTAGAAACAGATATGAAATGCACAAGTTCAGCTCTGATATCTTCCATTTGGTTCAGCACTATTTGGTCTGACACGAAAAGCTTCTAATCTCTCTGTAACGACTACACAAGAGTGGCTATTACAGAACACCCCTCATCCAAGAGGAGAGAACATCACCAGCCTCAGAATGATCTCTAAGAACTCACCTTTTGCTTCCTTTTGTCTTTGGATTCTTAGCAAACAAGGAAGGGTCAAGTGCTTCCAAGGATTTGCCTTTAGTACTAAAAAGCCTCTGAGCACGCTCCTCCAGAGTCCTACAGAGAAGAAGAGAGGGGATCAGTCCAGACCATAGTTTTACATTTCCCGAGAACTATTTGAATTCATGCAACAAAATTCTAAACGTAGCTTTTATGAGATCATTAGATTCCTATTATCTTTGCCTTCCTTCCTCAAGTCAAAGTCTTCTGTACCAGAGATTCCAGTAAAGGATCTGGTCAGAGCAGCAGATCTCAGTACCCGCTGCTTGGTTCTTAACGTTTTATCTTTCAAACATCACTAAGGTAATACTAGTACACCAGAGATGACCAAATAAGTATCCCAGAAAGGAGTGTGAGACAGGAAGACCTCACAAACTGAAAGGAACTCAACAAAGACTGCACCTTACCCACCACACTTCAGCCCCAGGGCCAGCAAAGCTGATTTTAACCTGTCCAGTCCCAAGGAGGCCAATTCCTGTTCAATTAAATAAACCACTATAAGAGATGATCTGTTCAACACATAAAATACGGATATAGTCCACTTTTAGCTCATTAAAGAAGAAAAAAAACTGATGAAAAGTATTCAAGAAAGGACTGTCATGGGTGCACCCCTCCTCACTGGAAAATGAGGAATGTGACAAGTCTAACCAGGTTCTTCAAGCTACATCCCCCCCAGGTGGAGAAATTAAATCATTAGCATCATCGAAGTTTTACCCAGAAAGCACAGAGCCAGGGAGAAAAGCACTAAAATTATGCCAAGAAACCAAATGACTGAGCTTCCCCCTGCTCCAAACGTGGTAGTAAGTGTGGAACACTGGAAACGCACCTCCCAAGAGGAGAAGGCCGAGAGGTCCAGATGGGCGCCGGCGTGGGTGAGGGCACTGCTGGTCTCTTTCTGCCAAGAAAACCACATGCAAGAATTGCAGGACATCCCACACGGCTTCAGGCCATAGAACATTTTAACCTCCAGAGAAACAGTTCATTTCACAGAGAAAAATCCCCTCACTAAACTGAAAATTGAACAATAGTAAAGATGCAATATATGCCAACCTGAAACAAGGTTCATTTGAAACCAGTTGCACTGGGTTTCAAATTCAGGTCAGTACTACCCTGCAGCCTGGTGACACAGAGCTGCAGTCCTGTCAGGGTCACCCCCAGCAATGACTTTAAAAAAATAACTCACAGAAACCCCTCAGAAACACAGAACATCCCCCAGGCTCAGGCTGCTCACCGGCCAGCCCGGGAATGTGCCGTTCTCCCACTTTTTCTCAAACTCCGTCTGAATTTTCCCAAAAAGTTCATTCTGGTCCAGTAATGGTTTCACTCGATCTGTGTAATCCTGCAGGTACTCAAGAAGCATTTCAAGGTACCTGGCAGGGGAAGCACAAGCACAGGTAATTCACTATCACCCTCTACCCACACCTTTGGACAGTCACTCCCCTCTAGTGCTGCAGAGGGAGGTGA